GAACGCTTCGCTCCCGCCCGCCAGCATTTTAGATCGCCGGGGCAGGCGGGGGAAGGCAGGTCCTCTTCTGAAGGCCGGCTGTGGGCAAAGTCTTTGCTCCCGACCGCCAGCATTTCCCTATGGTCTTTCGTCTTGCGATGCAAGCCCATAGGGAAATTCGTCTTGCGAAGCGCCTCCAAAACAGAAAACCCTTTCGTCTTGCGGGTTTTCCGTCTTGCGAGGCATTCGTCTTGCGGGGCACCACTGTACCAATACATGTGGGAGCCCCTCCTGTTCACTGAGAGCGTAGCACCCAGAGAGGAGAAAGTCTTCTCTCCCCAGCTGTAATTTCGACACCCCCCTTCACTGCAATTGGCCTTAGAAGAAAAGGTTCTCCTGGTGTGAACAGGCACTTTCATGATAAAGCAAAGTTCACTGGGGGTAGGAGATTTACACCAAGAGTGCAAAATTAGCAATGGGTGGTGGTGGTGAGTGCAGTGGCGTAGCGTGGGTTGTCAGCACCTGGGGCAAGGCAAGTAATTTGCGCCCCCTAACCCGTGGATTTGCGCCCCCTAACCTGTGGATTTGCGCCCCCTAACCCATGGATTTGCCCTAACCCCAGATGTTGCGGCCGGTGCGGCCGGCCCCCCCTGCACCCCCCACGCTACGCCACTGGGTGAGTGAATGCATGGCCATGAAATTAGATGTCTGCCTTCCCAATCTCAAGAAGACACCTTTACATGGGCTTTGGTGATAAGCACATTAAGTGAAACTTAACTGGAGTTAAGGCTACAATCCTAAATACACTTGCTAGGGACCGAGTGTTCCATCAAATGGAGCAGGGCTTACATCCAAGTGAACACACATAAGATAGGGCTGCACAGTCGCTTTCAAAATGGCAGGTGACTATTTGACCAAAAATCCATTTATTCAGCCGACAGTCCTCTCAAAAAACACAGTGCCGCTTCTCCGCCTTGGAGCCTTCCAGGTGTTGGCAATTGCAATTCCCATCAGAATAGCCAGCATGTTGGCGAGCTGTAGTCCCCAACACCTGGAGGGCATAGGATGGGGAGGTTAAAGGTTAAGACAAGGGCGGAAACAGAGAGGTGAGAGACTTCCGTACCTTTCTCCTGGGGATGAAAACGTATGACTTATGGCAGACGCAGAACATTGGAACACTCAAAGTACTCCAGGTCTTCCTCTGGCTCACCTTTCGCCTCCAAGTCCGCTGCCTTTTGACTGGAGGATGTGCAAGCCAGTTTCTCTTCGTCAGTGGCATGCCCATCTCGGTTGGAAAGGTCTGGGATTTTGGAGGCAAGCACGGCTTCCTCTTTGTCCTGCACAAGCAAGGAGACAGTTAAACAGGGATCAGCCCATTGCCCAGGGCTTGGATAGCATTAATGGGGGGGGGGAATCCGGAAGTGCCCAGGGACAGCTGTCTGTGCCTTCCATTCCACTCCTTTCACTTTCCAGCTTCTTAAAACATTGAATTGATTCTATATTTTATTGTCAGCCACCAAAATGGTTCTTGCAAGAAAATGAAAATATTTAGGGGGGGTTGAATAAGGATATCTGGTAGAGTCAAATCTGGTCCATAGCTAATACACTGAAAAGCAAACTTGAAAATTAAGGTACACCAGAGGACACCCCTCCAAAAAGGATTCATTCTTGCTTACGGTACAATGGCAAAATGTATTTCATATATTAATGATGATTGAAATGTTCAAATATGCTTCCATTTGGAATTCTTAGTAACCTTTTTAAAGTGAGAATATCACAAGAACTTAAAGACAATATCCTATTTTTAAAATAAATCAATTTATTTTTTAAAAATGCTGCTACTTCTCAATGCCAGTAATAATGATAATAATATTGGGGGGGGGATGAGAAGGAAACAACTCAGATTTGTGCTTTGTATGAGCATGTTTAATTTTAGTTTTCATTTCGTTCCCCCACCCCCCAGTTCTTGGTGTGCAACTGAGGTGTATAGTTCTTGTTTAAATAAAGATTTTTATTATTATTCTTTATTTTAAAAGCTTCTGGAAAAAGAGTTAATTAGCCTGCAGCTCTTGTCTTCCTAACAGGCCAGGCAGTCGGATGCCTCCGTAGGAAGGGTGGTGGCTCAGTGGTACGGCTCATGCTGTATCTCAAACAAGGCTCTGGTTCTTCCTGTGCAGGCTGGGGGGCGGGGGGAACCCTCTCTGGAAGACTGGAGAGCTCCTGCCAGTGCTGGAGCTGATAGGTAGCCTATTCTGGCACAAGGCAGCTCCCAATGTAGCTTGGTGGAGAGCCACTGCAGACAATACCAATGGTCTGACTCAGCCTATATTCCAGGGTCTGCTTTAGGGTTCTTAAGATGCCCTCAGTGTGGACCATTCCCTGAGTGATCCCCCTCTTTCCCATTTGCCCTCTTCCCCTGTGCCCCATCTGCTCCCACTGCCCTGCAGGAAAGAGCAAGGCAAGCAAAAGCTGCCATTCCTTCTTCTTCCCTTGTCTCCTTTTGACAGTAGGAAAGAGGGCAGATAGAGGCAGGAACAGCAGAGAGTAATTCTGAGGGACGTGGGCCCAGGCAGAGTCCCAAGGATGCGAACTCTGGAAGGTGCACCTGTCCCCGGCTGCTAGTGCAAGGAACCCTTCTCCAAATCCAAAGCTCTTCCACATGGATTACTACTTAAGAAAAGCCTTGCTGGATCCAGCCAGTGGCCCATTGAATGCGGCCTCCTGCTCTCACGTTCCCCCCAGTAGATGCCTGAGGGAAGCCTGCAAGCAGGACCTGAGTGCCACGGCTCTCCCCCGACCCCCCCAGAGGTGCACAGCCTCTGACAGTGGAGGGCGACTATAGCCATCGTGTGGGCCTTCTCTCCTGTGAATGTGGGGAGCAAGTGGCAATTCTTGGCTACCCCATACCTGGGAGCAGACATCGAGAACCAGGGACGGTGCTTCGTATTTCTTCACCTTGCAGCCACTCCTGCAGAGAGAAAGGGAGGACAGGGTCAGCGTTGGACTTTCTGTTATTGGGTGTGGGGTAGGGAGCTGAGGAGTCAGGGAGGGAGGCCAAGTAGGCAGGACCAGATGGCAGGACCAGAGTTGGCACCCACGTTGTTGGCATAGCAGATCTCAGCACTGATCAGGGAAGGCCATGTTCTTTCTTAAAGCAGGAAGTGGGGAGAGAAGAAGGGAGAGACCAACACAAACGGCTACTGTGCTCAAAAGACCACAGACTCTGAAACAGCCAACACTTAAAAGCCGTTTTGCACGAGGGCAGGCACAGGTCTGCTGCCAACTCAGCCAATCCTGGATATTAAGCAGCAGAGTCAGTTTTTCCAGCTGGGGAAAGGGTGACGATTCAGTGGCACAGTACTTGTTAAATGCAAGAAGGCCCTGGGTTCAACCCCCAGCACCTCCAGGTAGGGTGGGAAAGAGTCCTGCCTGCAGATCTGCTGACAGTCAGAGAAGATAATACTGAGCTAGATTGATCCATGATCTGATTTGATACGAGGCACCTTCCTACGCTGCT